GTCCTCTCGAGCTGTCCTTGTAGGTAATCTCCGAGTATTAAAAGGATCAGCAACGAAGCATTGAGCTTTTTTGGTTGCAGGTGCCATCCGGCTAACCTTTGGGAGCAGATGAGCATTGGAGGAGAGTTGGGGAGGCAGCAGGAGGAGCAGGGATCCACTGCAGCTTCAGAAATGCCCTCTAATTTTGTCTCTCCCTCCCTCAGGTATCCCAGAAGATGACAGGCACAGCGTGTGACTCCGGTCAGAGCCAGTGAGCTCATTCAGCAGCCGAGCTTCAATGGGATAAGAGCTCTCCTGTTCTTTCATCAAGTGGGACTTCTCAAGCTATTCCTGCTTTATTGAAGCATCAGCTTTGGCATCCAAAGAAGCAGAGCTGGATATGGCAATGAAGAGGATTACACTCAAATGCAGGGGTTTTAAATTTAATAATTTTGTGTGCTGTGTTGGTAAGATGCTTTTGTAACTTGCTATCTTTTTTTCTTTTCCTTAGGAGCCTTGCATCTTTTGGGATCTCCTGATCATCTCAACTGCAGCTTGGCATTTTTTCACAAGTGTTACCCAGTCCCAAGGTGAAGCTCCTCTGTGTTGAAGATGGCCACAGACAGCCAGGTTTCCAAGTAGTCAGTGGGGGGTTACAGCCCAGAGATGGAGTGAGGGCTGGGGTGCCAGCTTAGGAATTGCCCAGGGTGTTTTGAAGGCAGTGTGGGTGGAAAGCAGTGTCCAGGAGCCCCCCTAAATGTCTGTGAAGGCACCCACTGACTTTTCAGATGTGCCACTTGAGTTTTCCTCTCATTCACCCAGATATTCCATGCAATTACAGCTGCAGTCTTTGGCTGCAGGCAGTGTCCCTGGGTGGTTTGCCTGAAGAGAAGGGAGACTCTTTCAGCTGTCCCCATCTATCTGGGTGACTTTGGTTAGGGTTTCTTTACCATGCCAGAGGGACAGGGTGTAAAGCAGAGCTGAACAGAACAGAGGCCAGAGGAGCAGAGCGAGAAGGTGGGTCATCACCTGACATCAGCACAAAGCTGTGGCTTTTGGCTCCACGTTTACTTGATGTGTTAAGGATTTTCTTGTTTTGGTTTGTTTTTTCTTTGTTTTCAGATGCAGAGCCCTGAGCCCAGGAGGCTCTAGGCACCGGAGGGGGGGTGATCCGGGTGAGTACCGGTGAGCAAGGTGAGCATGGACTCCAGGCCAGAACTAGGTGGTCTTTTACAGGTGTTGTGGTGAATGTGTGCACATGCTTTGTTTCTTGTGTTTTCCAGGGGGTCTGCCACCTTCTCACAGACAGTCCAGTGCTTCGGGGACCCTGCCGGTAAGAGGTCACTGTGGAGGAGAGGTAGGTAGGAGGTACCCCAGGAAAGCCATCCTTTCAGGCAGTATCTCAGTATGTGCATTTGCCTTTGGCTTTTTACTTTGCAGAGAATGTGTGCAGCCTCAGAGGGCTGGAGCCACCTGCCAATTAGGTTTGATGGTCTTTAGCTGTCCTTGTCAGAGGGACAGGATGTAAAGCAGAGTTGAACAGAAAAGAGGCCGGGGGAGCACAGTCAGAAGGTGGGTTTTCATGTGAGGTCAGAGCCAAGACGTGACTTTTGGGCCTTTGGATGGTGTGGTGGTTTAGTTTTGTTTTTTCTTTTTTTTTTTAAGATGTGGAGCCCCCAGCCCAGCAGACGATAGGCACCAGAGGGAAGGTGAGGCCACTGAGCAAGGTGAGCAGTGACTGCAGGACAGAACTAGATGCTCTTCTGCAGGTGGTGTACTTCTGGTGAATCTGTGTACATACTTGTATTTTTGTTTTACAGGCAGTGCACCGACTTGTAACGTACAGTCCAACGTGACGGGGACCCTGCCTGTAAGAGGTCACGGTCAAGGGGTGTCAGACAGAAACTGCCATGGGAGCAGCACACTCTTGGACAGGATCTCAGTACTGGCATTTGCCTCTGGGTTATTTTGCAGGAGATGTACGCAGCCTCACAGGGCCGGAGCCAACTCACAATGAGGTGACGGGCACGGTTCGGTCCTCTCGAGCTGTCCTTGTAGGTAATCTCCGAGTATTAAAAGGAT